CTCACTGATCTTGCTGGGCACGAGCTCGGTCAGTGCCCGAGTTGATTTAGAAAAGAAGTCTCCCACTTGAGGGATGTGGAGCTTTTGTCTTTGATACAGATACAGCTGGCTGGGCCCAAGGGGAAGCCTGCTGGCACATGTCCCCGCTGCAGTAATGTTCAAAGCGCACAATTACGCTGCATTCCGGGGAGATAAAACAGTGGAAGAGAAATTCCATTCAGGCTCCGATAGCTGTTAATAACGGCTAAAGACTAGAGGAAGAATGCAGAGTGTCGAGTTGGAATGACCCCGAAGCCACCCAGCAAGGGGGGCAGCAGGGTCAGGATCTGACACAGGCCTTTTAATTCCCAGGCCAGGCTCTTTCCACCTTGCCTCAAGCGGCAGGCACCTCGCTTCTCTCAAATTTATGCCATTCCAGCTGGGTTACAACTCTGGGTTTCCAAATGACTGCTCTTTCTACATCAAATTCCGAAACAGTTTCCCGCTCTACTATAGAATCAGCTAGACAATGCTATCAACAGTCTAGGCTCCAATCACTAAGTTTTATTAGGTTTTATCTGTGCATATTTGTAAAAAAAAAAAATCGAGGGAGATACTTGAGGTGTCTAAATTAGGCTCATATCTTCAAACAAACAGCATCGTATATACATATTAATACATACATATTATACATGTGTACATATGCATGCACACACATGTGTACACACACATATACATGTGTTTGTGTGTACGTGTGCGCGTGTGTGTTGTAGTTCCGCGTATCATGGCTGTGGATCAAGATGTAAGTTCTCAGCTCCTCTTCCATGCCTCCTGCTGACATGTTTCCTGCCATGATGATCACAGACTCTAAGCTTCTGGAACCATGAGCTCCAGATTAAATTATTTCTTTTATGAGGTGCCCTGGTCATGATGTCTCTTCATAGCAATAGAAAAGTAACTAGAATACCAGTCCTCTCTTTCAAGTAAGTTTTTATATAGTTATTTTTTTTTTTTTGTGAAATAGTATGTTATATATCCTAGGCATCAAACTTACCAGGGTAGCTGAGGATGACCTTGAACTTTTGATCCTCCTGCCTCTCTCTAGAGACTGGGATTATAAGCATACACTACCATACCAGCTTATATGGTGGAGGGGACTAGTCAAGCACTTAACAAACTGAGATAAAGGACTAAAGAACATCCCTGGGTCTAAAGGACTGGGCATGTAGCTCTGTGGTATAGCATTTGTCATGTATGTATGTGTGTGCGTCCTCTGTAATCAATATCAAAAACAAAAATTTTAAATATGCCTAATGTGAACATCTGCAATTTAGAACAAGTCATTTCCAGACCAGAATTCCTAGCACAGTAACAGGGACCAACCTAACCATTTGTGCTGTGCCCGGAAGAAGTCTGTGCGAAGGGAGATGGTTTTCTGTTGTAGGGACACGAAGGAAAATGAGTGGTAGTTGAGTTTGCACAGAAAGCCTAGGACTGCGTGGAGTAAGGGACAGATACATTCCTTGGAGTGTGGTAGCACCAGTGATGCCAGCGCTTCTCACCCTGTGGGTTGTAACCTCTTTGGGGGCCAAACAAACCCTTTTAGAGGTGTTGCTTAAGACCATCAGAAATATCAGATACTTACATTGTGATTCATAACAGTAGCAAAATGACAGTTATGAAGCAGCAATGAAAATCATTGTATGGTTGGGGTCAGCACAGCATGAGGAACTGTATTAAAAGGTTGCAGCATGAGGAAGGTTGAGAACCAGTGAGCCACGCAGACAGTTCAACAATTTGCTCTGCTTAAATCTCATGAAAAGATGCTTATGCTTAATTTCTGGTTGTTGTTGGACTTCCCAAACACACAAATTATTTAACTCATTATTTAAGTGTAGAGATGGCATGCTGTGTGTGTGACATCCTTTTAGAGATAGCAGCAATGTCATTATTTCAAGGAGCGTCTCTTGTGTTTTCTAGGGCCAGGGAAGTGGTGCTCCTCCAGGGAAGTGGTGCTCCTCCAGGTTAAGTGGTGCTCCTCCAGGGAAGTGATGCTTCTCCAGGGAAGTGGTGCTCCTCCAGGGAAGTG